TCGAAACTAACGCTTATGTTCCGTTCTTTTTGCTATGCTCATGAGGCTAGGGGCCTAAGGGGTATCGTTTTTCTGTGGTAATGGAGGCGGAGCTTTTTCCGCGGAAGATTCCTTTAACACAATGCCGAAAGCGCACCATTTGTCTTTTTTGACCATGTGAGACTAGCGCGATTTCGCAAGCGGGCTCGTCGCCTTTAATCCGTGGATTTCGGAGAGTGAATGCACGAAACACGGATGACACAAAATAAAGGATAAAGGATAAAGCATTTGCCGTTGATCAATCCCTTTTTGGGATGCGGCACGCATTCTACTTCCATTTGTACATTCGTAGTGGCGTTTGAATGCGATGTGGCCTATACAATGACTTGCGGGGGCCAGCCGATGTACAAGTCAGTGTTTTTATCCTCCCAGACAAGTCTGGTACCAATTAACCGACCCCGGAGGGATGGAAGGCTTGGTTGGCCCGGGCGACTCACGACCCAGGATTTGATCCCCGGACCGCTCGCGTGGTAAGCGTGCCACTTGCCACTACACCACTTCCGCCCATGTCACAAAATAATTCCAGTAATGTTCAATCCGGGAGTCAAATTTTAGGTTCTCGATCGAAGGAAGTGTTGTAGCAAAGGAAGAAAATTTCGAATTTTACTACTTTCTTCGTGGTGGACGTGGAAAATATTTTAACGTGATTGTTGCACTAAAAATTATTTTGCCATTAGCACAGGTTGCGTTTACTTCTACTGCAATTTTTTTACTTACGTTTTCATGATAAAAAAGAAATCGTGGTGGACGTGGAAAATATTTTAACGTGGTTGTTGCACTAAAAATTATTTTGCCCTTAGCACAGGTTGCGTTTACTTCTACTACAATTAACTTACGTTTTCATGATAAAAAAGAAAACATGGAATAAAGTAGAGCGAGAACCCTTGGAAAACCTGTGCTAAACTAATGCATATCTTTCCAATGTTGGGACGAGGTTGCTTCTAGTCATGCTATGGTGTGTGCTGTAATAGATTAACCCTTTGGCGACAATGTCACCCACCGGTGGGTGCCAGCCTGCTGTCGCGTGGAACAATGGCACCCATTGGTGGTTTCGCCTTGGAATTTCCTTATGTGCGTTTGAAACATTTTGATTATACCAGCATTATTCGCCAGCCTTAACATCTATATCCACCATGGTTCACAGGAAAGTTCAATATGAGTTATTTTATCAGGTCAAGCAAAAATTTTCAAAATATCATCAAAAAATCCGCAGTTTTCATTTTACTCATAAGTTTCTTAACAAAACCAAACAAAAGCAACAGTGAATGAGTAGTCAATAAACGCTCTCGACTAGCCCCTGCAACCGTGCCTTAATCCCAGGCTTCACTGATTCTACGACCAGATGCGGAAGCGTTCGGTTTTCGAGCTCAACCAATACTCGCGTAACACGAGCATCTTCCTTTTGCTGGCGTGTAAGCTCCAGAGTGAAGTAAGTACGCAAATGTCGTATAGCAAAATGTACAACAGATTGCACGCTTTCGGACTACATCATAAGCTTTGAAAATAATCAGCAAAAAACCATTGAGACGTGAGCCTAAAAAATCAATGGATAATTTCTGCACAACCTAATATATAAAATTTTAGGGTGGCATTGTGTGGCGTTTAACTCGCCGGCATAGTGATTGGAATTTCGCATGCTTAGGCCTGAGATTGCATTACCATATCGCTTTCAAGATCGCAACGTTCCCTTCAAACGTCCAAAACTTCTTTACAAAGATTATGTGAAAAAGATTAAGCCACACTACATCCAGCACGCTAAAAGTCGGGAATGGATAGAAAAACTGCTTTGGGGACAATTTTATCCACTGTCTTGAGTCTCGACTTTGATTCCGTTCGCATTTCTTCGTTAGTCGTGTTCACTCTTTTATTATTGCCACTAACAAAAAAGACATGCATCTGAGTCCTTTTAGTTCCAAGAAGTACCTCAACGAGTACCTAGAGCCATGAAGACTTCCTTGTTCCGTCATCTTTTTTTTGTTCATGTACCTCTCCCTCATCGCTTTGTTTATTCTCACTCTGGTCGTACATCAATTTCAGAAATGTTTTTTGTTTTTATTGTTTTTTCATGTTTTTTTTTGTGCCTGATGTTTGATTCAGTGTTTTCCGCAAACTTTCTACCACGTGAGTCGCATCTGAAATGAATATATGCAAATATAATATGTTGAGCGAAAGTTGGAAGCTCCAAAATGGGGCGTGGTTCCACGAGTTCACTACGTGCAGATTCGCTTTGTCGTCAAAGGGTTAAGCGCTCGGTGAAGGAGTGCGCTATCACTAGACGATTGGGTGAGAAGATAGCATACATTATTCGATGTAATACATTGTAGACGCAAAACTCCTTATTTCAACTAGCTTAGATTTGTCAAAACTACTATTAGGTGACCCATTGATCAAAAAATTGAAGATTCCTCTTTGCTCAAAGATAGTGTTGTTCAATCTTACTATTAGAGATTTGCAAATGTAGTACTATATTAGCAGACCAGGAAGACTTATGACTGCCGACAGCCAGTGGCTGACAGCCGCATTGACGTTATCTCATTGACGACAGTGCGTTCTGAAGTCGGATCACAGCTTAGTGGGTGGCGTCGATAGTAGGATAGGACCACGTCCTTGTGATTCCTTTTTTGTATGCTAATTTGTGCGAATTTTCTTTCCAGATTGTTCACCTGTATACCTACCAGTTTGGCTGCGCACGCATTCGCGTGCATCACACGGGGGTTCAAACAGGATGATCACTATTCTTTTCTAGATTTTAGTTTTCTGTTCGGTACATCCCATTTACACCGACTATTAGGTCAAACTATATTTTCTATTTCCTACACCGCATTGAGCTACGTGTTTCAGACAGAATCGATCAAAAGACAGTACAGTACCAATCTCTAGGTGCGAACGAAAAAAAAATTCAATTCCAAAAAACACACAAACAATTCCAAAAACACAACAATTCCAAGCGACGGCGGTTTTGGAGATTGGGGGCATGGTATATTTTTCAATTTTTGAGAAGGTTTTCTAGTTGAGAATTCTGTCTGTGGGCAATGTTGCCTCTCATTTACTGCAGAACTGCTGAGTAAGATTCCAAGGGACGACGGTTTCGGAGAGGGTCTTTCTTTCGAAGACAGGGTTTTTTTTTTCGGAAGGTGGTAAGGCTGAAAAATTGTGTCTGTGACCAATGTTCTCTCTCTATTACTGCAGAGCTGCTGAGTGAGATTCCAAGGTACGGCTGCTTTGGAGACACTCCTCTTTCGAAATTCATGGGTAACCCCGCCCACTTTTGCGCATGTCCTGCCCACTGAGACTTCATTTCCTTCGCTGACCTCTATATACTTTTTCCTGGTGTCCAAGACTTCTTGGAACCGAGTAATAATGTTTCGTGCATAACTCCGCCCACTTTTGTGCAAGCTTAGCCCACCATTAGCATTTAACCCCTTTCCCTCCGGCAACCCTTATCCACATTTCTCCCGGTCGCCTAGCCGTCTTGGAACCGAGTTATGAGAGTGGTGGCAAACTCCGCCCACTTCGGGGAGTGCCGCCCAGCGTTCACATTCAACCTCTACTCCTCCTCTCACCTCTACACATTTTTTTCAGGTCTCTAAGTCGTCTCGGAGCAGAATTATGAGGTCTTGTAGGGGACGAAATCGAGCTACGTATCTTTGTGGCAAACCCCGCCCACTTTGGTGCATGGGTCGCCCACTGATATCAGTTGACTATCATCTCTTCCCCAACCTTTTTCTACTTTTTTCCCATCTCCGGAACTTATTGGAACCGAGTTATGAAGTACCGTGGCAAACCCCGCCCACTTTGGTGCATGCTCCGCCCGCCAACAACGGTTGACCCCTTTCCCTCTGCCAACCCTCATACGCTTTTTTCCCGGACTCCGGGACTCCTAGGAACCGAGTTATAAGCCTAATTGCAAACTCCGCCCACTTTGATGTAAGCCACGCCCTTCCCTGACATTTAGCTTCCCCTCCCCTCCTGACCTCTATCCGCTGTTTTCCGGTCTCTAAGTCATCTCGGAGCCGATTTATGAGCTCTCTTGTAGAAAACGCTGTCCGCTTCACGACACGCTCCGCCCATTGTGGGCGGGCCTCCGTTCACATCATGCGTGGTGGAAATACCTTAGGCATTGCTCCCCTGCACTAATTTCGTTTCTGGTCTGTAGGCTTCCTCTTAACCGAGTTATGAATATTTTCACTGAGCACCCATTTTCTAGAGAACGCCCCGCCCACCGAGGGTGGGTCTCCTCAGTTCAATCTGGCTTACCAACCCACACCTATGCCCACTTTTGTCCCGGTCTCGAGGCTGTTTTGTGACTGAATTTGAAATCATGGTCCTCAGTACCACTCATTTCGACGCACGCCACGCCCACTGTGGGCGGGGCTCCGCTTAGGTAATGTATGTTTTTTACTTCTCGAGATATGGTACACCCATCCCAAACTTGACCTGGACCCAGTAGGTTGTTGTCCGCTTAATACGGAATTTCGTGACAGACAGACAGACAGACAGACTTAGCGCATTATATATAGTAGGGATTACTGCTGAAGGATCCTGTTCAAGAAATATCCGCAAGTGTAGTTGAGAGTGAGTGAGTAAGCAAAAACTGTTGATGTGAATGAAACAGTCAGGCTGGTAATGCTACGGACGTCCACTGTAGCATTAGCTACAAAAATTTTGCTTCCTAGTTGTCACTGCGTTTGTGATCGAAGTTCTTATGCTATATCCATTGATAACAAATTATGATCATTGCAGGATTTTTTTTTTGTTTTTTCTTCCATGCTCTGTATATCTGGAAACTTTGAAGAAGTTTTGCACCTCTGAAAAATCCGAGGAGGTTAGCTGAGGCGGCCGTGCTCGCTATGCTGTGCATTTGCCACAAAGCCAAAAAAAAATTAAAAAACTTGCTATCGCCATTGTTTTTATGCCTGACTCTCGAGCTTATTGCTTCGTACCGTTTCATTATTTTAAGGAAATCTGCTGGTAGTGAAGCTACGCAGAACATTTCGGCTCTCATTAAACAGGGCAAGAAAAAGAAGCGGAATGTCAAATTCAACACCTCCGAAAGGGAATATTTGAACAGGAACGTCAATGCCGCACGGTCCTTCCGATCCAAATCCGTGAGCTCACCTCTTTTCCATATATGTAGGATGGGCGAAAACCGGAAACCGCGAGCGCTCACGACTCTTCAGTTTTTCTGGGCTCTCGTTCGCTTATGATAATTTTGTGTACTGTTGTTTTTTCGCTGTCACAATACACTTGAGAAGCTGCTTTTTTCATGGTGAGATCGTTTTTTATCCTAAAAATCTCATTGGGTTCGCGCCACCACTTCCAGGAGACTTCTAGTGAATAAGACCTCCATGTATGGCATCGTTAGAAGGTTTGAAGAATCCAGAAGCCTTTCTACATGGCCGGGCGAATTCGAAAAGCACTTCCGTCATCCGAGCTGATTTCACGAGAGTTGCAGAACCAAATTTTGCGAGTTCAACGAGTTGCGTTCTCGTTTGAACATTGGAATGGGCTCGATTGATGCTTCTTCGGAGTGCTGGGATCCAGTCCTGCAAAAGTCGCTGAGAACTTCAGAATTTCAACAAGTTGCTCTTGAGCGGGTCCGACATGAAATTGATGACACCTACTTGTGTACCAATTACGTGACTACTTGAACTTCCCTCCATGTTTTTGCCGCGAATGCGGCGCCCAGCCCGGTTCTAAAACTTAAGGAGGGAGGTAAGAACTCTAGGACTAACCATGGGAGGGAGGAAGGTGTGGGGCGACTGAGCCAGTCACACTATGGCAATAGTTTGAAAGTATGAGATCCAGCAATTTCGGATTGCGCTGTGGCCAGAACATCGAGTGAGGCGATATAAAGAACCGAGTTCAAGTTGCTCGTATAACTGGATCTCCAAGCAACCTGAGTCTCTCTTTAAAGCTGGTGGAGGGAAATTCGAGGGTATATGATTAATATTGTTCCTCGTTGAGCAATGAGTTATTGTTTACAGTCATGATTCGAACTGATCAGCTCATCAGATTCTACGTCTTCTCTGAGTTTCCGTGATTTTCGCCCTCTCGGTTTAATTCTTGTTGTGCCGCGTTCCCAGCAACCTTTGTTTTTTAGAGCTATGGCGCCGGTTTCGTTCATCCGCTACGTGAAGCATTTTTCACCAATTCACAGCAGGTAATTTGTACATTATAAGACAAGGCTTTTCTGGTAATCTTCTTTATGTGACTGTGGAAAGTACCGATTCATGAGCCCATCGTTTATTTTTTGTGTGACAAAGTGAAATGCATATACCTATCTATGCACATCTCTATAATGGAGAACAAAATCTACATGTTGTCTTGTCAACTGCTGTTTTCTGCCGGAAGTTCGGGATGCGAGAATTGTCAAGGGTGCTGAGTTATGCGAACAACCTGCTCGGCCTAAAGCGGGAATGGATTCCGAATCTCTTGATTTCCTGGCACTTCATTCGCGCCTAAAGCGAAGTGTTTTGTATAGTGCTTGGTGAAGAGGAGATGCATCAAGCTTCAATCCGCAACTATGTATACAGCGCAATTCATACGTATCGATTTGAGTATGACATTCAAGGAGATCCTCGATGACTAGTGATGGAATGGAAGGAAGAATACTTTCTATTTTTCTCTTTGACTTACTTGGCTTCGACTTATTTCATGCAAGTGCATTGAGCTTCAAAGAACCAATATTTTTCAGATTTCACGCGAAGCGTTTCTGAATCCAATGCAAGCAATTAGGATGGGGGAAAATAGGGACGCTCGTTTTTCTCGCGTTTAATTAAGCTCGCATTAAACTAAGGTGCGCAGCAATCCTTGATAGGTGCAAAAGGATAGAGCTAACGGGGCTTGCACACACATCTGTTAAGTCAATTTGAAAGCGCTTCAGTTGGAAAACTTCTGCAAAAATTTCATAAATTGAGTGTGCGTAGCACAGTGACTTCTGCGCCTTCGTACCTAATAGATTGCTTCGCACCTCAGTTGAGGGGGAGCTTTAATTAGGTGCGAAAAATAACGGGCCGTCCCTATTTTCCTTGATCCTAACAACAACGTTGTTTGAGGAGGCTCAGCCCATCCACGGTCCACCGAAAGGTTTCAAACTTCCTCAAAGTAGCAGCACGAAGGAAAGAATCACAACAAATGGTAAATCGTCAAGGAAGATGCCGTTGGACAAAGCTAGAACTGGAACTGAAGTAAGTTCTGCTGTAGAAGGCTTCCAGTTTTGGTACAATTTGACACTTTTGGACACCTCTTTTTCCTGAGTGCCGGTTTTTGCTGCTCACGATACGTCTGAAGGCTGCTGAGAAATGGATTTGTAAGAGAACTGCTATAACCCCAATATCACCGATGTGGTCTCGTTTCCATGTTCGGCCGTCTTCTTTAAATCTGCCAATTTTCGATCTGTAATCTAACTGTCAAAGGTCGCCTTCTACTACCGTATCCACTTGCTGGGGCAGTTCCATACCCTTTCTGAGTCCTCTAAACATTCCGATCTTTTCGATCGGCCACGGTTCTGAGGAATTTTTGCTTCCATGAATGTAGTCGATCAGCAATGTAAGTCACTGCCCATGTTCAAGCCTTCTGCGCAAAGGAGATGTTTTTGATCAATATCGATTTAAACACCTGAGCGTATCGATTTTGGAATTTGTGACTTTGCAGTATTGCGCTGGGTGACGCCTCCCCCTGCGAAAATTTATGTTTTCGATCGATGGACTGTTTCATTCTAAGTTCGCAATTATAGCCCTCTTCGGCACAGCTGAGTGGTCTAACCGTAGGTATTGACCACTATCTAGTAATACCCACCTGGATGATAAGTAGAAGGAGGAGGACTTCCAATAATCCATTAAATATAATAATTAACGCCACCTTAAAACAACAATGATGCGACCGGCTATTTGTTTTCACATTTCCAAAGGGGAACCGATCAAAAAAGGAAACGTTTTTTCTTCGTATTTTTCGAAAGCACAGTGGCGACATTGAGCGCAACAGTTATGAAGAAAGATTTTTAACAGCGAAGCTTGCCAAATGAGCAATTGTGGCGTAATAGTTTGTAACCGCGAAGTGATTCCTAGAGTAAATGAGGCAGAATTTTCGTGTGCCCTTCCGTTGGCTGTTTGTAACAGGCTAATTAAGAAAGAAAAAACCTTTAT